GTTTCACCTGTGCTGCTGCTCGCTTTTACTCCCACCCCACCCCCAGCCTTCTCTACGTGCCTTCACACTTTATTACCACACATTAAAAAACCATATGGGTCGTAATCGAGCTTAATAAATGTCAGCGTCGTAGCTCGCACGGGGACGGCCGGGGTTCAACGTCTGTTTGTCTTGTACATGAGTTTAATTAGCCTCTGCCATGCTACAGTGTGTGCCCGATTGTGTGAGGAGATGAAAATGAGGCTAATTAGATGTGATAGCAGGAGGCTGGGCTGATGTGCTGCACCTGCAGCCATCCTGCTTTGAGAGCGCTTGTGGGAGGTGGGAACATGCACACCTCGTTACCTAAAGTGTGCTGACCATAGATTGCATCGCCATAATGTTAAAAATACTGACCAGTGAAAGGTATAACACCAAGACGTGTACCTCCTACCTGAACATTGTTGCAAACTAAGCACACTGGTGGCATTTACACTGTCCTGTGGGAAAGTGCAACTAGACTGAGGAACAACAAAGAGTTCATGGCATTGGCCTCCCAACACATCAGATAGCAATCCAAACAATCATCATGTGCCAGGACAAGCCTGATCCACTGGGACCTCACTCCATATCCCTGACAACGGAAAGGATCTGATGGAGAATTTGTCAGAACAAGTTCCCGGGAGAACCCCAGAGCTCCTGGGTTCATTCACGCTCCAACTGGTCAGAGCTGTTATGAGAAGCACACAATATTTAATCCTGGTAGTTTTAATGGCTGATTGTTGCACAGACAAATCGATGAGATGACGACAACAAAAAATCTGCAGTAAGGTTAGGGTTAACCGCCACCAACATTAGCAGGACGCTTACATTAGAGCTGCTTATTGTGTGTTTTGTTTGGGTTTCTGTGTGGAATTACCACAATTAGGGAGGGGATAGGCTAACATATGAAACAGGCCATGACTGCCGTGTGATGCATTTATTTCAACAAAGTAACTGTATTCTAATTATAACTTATTTAAGCGGTAACTGTAACAGAATACAGATACTCATATTTTGTGTTTTAAATACGTAATGCTGGTACATGTACTCTATTACTCCTCAACACGGCCTGCAGGCAAGATTTTTGAACGTTGGCATTGCAAATTGCATATTTTCCACACAATTCCATAACTTCCAGCTCTGTCACAGGGAAAGGAGTGAGCCGTGTGGGAGAAATAAATGAGGATCCATGTGAAGGTGGTTTATTGTAACATAAGATACAAGGAGAAAAATGGCAAAACAGAGCTAAAGCTAAACTGTACTGGGACAAAACTAAACTACAAAACAGCAAACCAGAACACGAACATGAAGGCGAGTCAGCAGAGGCATATGGAGGGTGATAGCAGGGAGAACACACGGTAGATTCACAGACAGACCAGCAACTAGTGCACCAGTAGACACACAGAAGAACACAGGGAGACAACTGAATACACTCACATGAGACACAGACCTTCACAATAAAACAGGAAACCCCTTCACAAAGACGCAGACTAGACACAGAAGTGAACCTACACTAAACATAAGACACAAACCCTAAAAACGAATAAACAGAAACAGAGAATTCTAATAATAATCAACAAAGCACATAAAATAATCCATAATGCAAAAATAAACCAAAACATAAGAAACTCAGACCCAGCACCGTGACAATTACCAGCATTGACAACGCAGGCAGCTTCAGATATGAAGTAAGATTTGTTTTTCATTGGAAATGCAAATAAATGTAGAAAAACTTGATTGCATTTTATATTATCTTCCACAGACCATGTGACCATTGTGAGGAAAAGTTTTTACATTTAACACTTCATTCATAAAGTGACCAGAACGTTGTCCAGCGGGAAAAAGAACCTTTTTTCTCTCATTTCTTAACTTTGTCATCCGAGTGCATTTGACAGCTAGCCTGTTGTTTTCTGTTTTTTACCATCGCACAGTAAAGCTCTGTACTGCAGACCAGTAGTAACTGCTTTACAGCTGATTTTAACCTCATCATGTCAGCATCTTTGCAGATTCTTTCAGTATTACTGTTGACATGGATATTTCTCATTACTAATCTTGACTTCCAAATATGACAGCAGCTCGCCTGGTATTCTGAAAAGCCATTTAATTAAACTCATGGACAGTTTTTGTTTTGGAGAGCTGGTCTCACTTGAGTTTGCTTCATTGGGCTCTATTTGCATTTGTGCAAAAAAAGAAAAAGGTTAATAATTATTTTTAGTTTGCTTTGAGGGCTGAGAGAGACCGAGCATAAAACACACTGAGAACATCCTTGGCCTCTTTTACTGCCTCCCGTTTCTACCTCGACCACACATAGACATGTTGCAAGGGTGTCTGTTGAAACAGTGATGATTAGAGGGAGGGCAAAATGATCAATATTATTATTTTCTGTTAATGCAGCTTAAATTTCTTATATCAGAACGATTAAAATCAAATGATTTTTGCCTTTGCAGCCAACAGAGATGGATTTAACCCTGAAAAATTAACCTGATGATATAAAGAAATGCGTCGCCTTTCTCACCAGCTTTGGGAGAACAGTTGCAGAAAGGGAAACGCTGGCGTGGTCTGGGAAACAAATACTCCAAAGATTAAAGGAAATTCTTCTCTTACTTGTTTGCTGCAGCCAGCACAGCTCACTGTGACCGAGCTTTGATAGAAACAGAATGTCATTTTCAGGCGTCCTCTGCCTGCTCTCTCAGACCTGTCACATCACCCTAAGCAGGAACACCAGAGGATCACTCCCATCTCAGGCCAGCCTGTTGACACATAAAGAGCAGGAAGCGTGTCGTGAGGACAGAGTGAGTGATGACGGATTGATGGCATTTATGTGTTCTCCTGCTTAAAGCACAACAGTGATGAGACTCTGCAATCAATAGATGTCAGAGGTGTAGTGTAGATCCCCACTGACTTCAACACTCAAAACGGCAACAATCAAGCAACTCCCCTTTAAGAAAGCACTCGGTGACAGTGGAAAGGAAAAACTCCTTTTTAACAGGAATAACAGGCTCGGGGAGGGACGGCCATCTGCCTCGACAGACAGCTGATCATCAGTTGTTGTACAGGTTAGGCGCTCACAGTGTAATCAAGTCAGAGTGTGACACACTGATCTGTCTCACAGTTCAGTTTTATTTATACAACAGCAGTCGCCTCCAGAAGGTAAGGAATACGTATCCGAGTATCCGTAATTGATTGATTGTAATCTGTGTGCCACGTCCAGATCAATGTGTAACTTTTATGCAATGAGTGTTTTTTGTGTATTTTTGGTGACATGGAGAAGGTAAAACATGCCTTTATTTCAACACGACTTGACTGCTGTAATGCTGTTTTTTTGGAGTCAGCCAACGATCTCTTGCTCGTCTTCAGCTCATTCAAAATGCTGCTGCCCGCCTCTTAACTGTTACCCACAGCTACGAACGTGTAACATCTGTCCTGTCTTCTCTTCATTGGCTTCCTGTTCGTCACAGAATTAATTTCAAAGTCCTAACACTGGTTTCTAAATGCCTTAATGGTCTTGCTCCCCCATACCTTTCTGAGTTACTTCAGCCTTATATTCCTTCACGGACCCTCAGATCAGCTGACCAGCTGCTGTTGGTTGTCCCAAAATCAAGGCTTAAACGTAGAGGAGAACGAGCCTTTTCAGTTATGGCCCCAAAACTTTGGAATACGCTGCCTTTAAATATTAGATAAGCATCTTCGTTTCCTGTTAAAATGCTTTTGAAAACACACCTTTTTTCGATAGTGTTCAGACTGGCTTGAGTTGAAATGGTTTCTATGTGTTTTATTATGTTTTATGTGAGTGTCAGTGGTTGTATGTTTTGTTTCTGTACAGCACTTTGGGCAAACTTTTTGTCTTTAAACGTGCTATATAAATAAACTGGATTTGGATCTTCTGTCTAAAACTGCAATAAATCAAACTACCATTAAAAATGAGAGATTGTGATTTCTTTGTCCCCCTATGGATTCAGCATTCATCGCCCTCTGGTGGTTTCCTTCCTGTGTGATAAGCTTTGAATGTTTTCTGCTTTCAGACTGGATTGTCTGACTCGACATCACTCTTGTTCCCCGTTTAGCGATCTGTCCACAGGATTTACATTAGAGCAGCAGACATAAATGGCTCCGAGATGCTTAATAAGATATCAGACTCTGGGTGTCCACAGAGAAAATAGTGCTATACTTTACTTTGTGCAGCACAGAGGTCTAAACTCTGTTTACCCTCTGGCCTGCTGAGGTGCCAACTGGCAGTAAATCCTGAGCACAGCAGGCAGGTTAGCACTTAAACAGCTTTGGGCAACATCTGTACAACTACTGTATCATTTCATGACACTCACCTGCTGGCAACAATGATTTAAAGCTCCTCTCATATAATCTGCTGTTATGTACTCTTCTGCGACACGTGTTTTGCAGGTTTTTTGGTGGGGCTTGTTTCTTAGATAATAAAATATCACTCAAACAGAATGAAATGTAAAGACATTCATAGCGATGTGTGTGCATATTTGAAATGAGGCAGCCAGTTGATTCTGCATTCAGACTGCTTCCTGTGAATCGGTCAAATACTGGAATCCTTCATCTAACATGAAAACATGTTTTTGTCCGAACATTCGTCCATCTCTTCAAATCAGAAGACTCAAAAACTGAAATGAGTCATCGAGTGTTTTGCTGTTCAGATGTGTAATCACACACTGAGCTGGACGCAGGATGAGTAATCCCTGCTCTGACAGTTCAAAATAAATATATAGAAACATCCTCAAGTGTCTGAGATGTGCAGGCGCCGTTTATCGCAGCCGTCGCAGAAACGTGTCTGTTTGTGTGGCCGTCTCGGGCACGCTAACAGTCACCTCTGTGGTATCACGTCAGCTTTTAAAGTTAGACAAATGTACAAGCTGAAAGTGTGAGAAACTTTTAGCCCTCATTATGAGTGTTGTTATTCAGAACATCGGGCTGTCTGCTTCCATCTTTTTGAATCTTTTTCTTGTGTTTGTCTTCAGGTGGAGCGGGAGATAGCTATTCTCAAACTCATAGAGCATCCTCACGTTTTAAAGCTGCACGACGTCTACGAAAACAAGAAATACCTGTGAGTATACCCCTCCCTCAGTCCACACTGTTGACACACTCTTTTTTTAAAATATAATGTGTGAAAATACAGTTTTGTTTTTCTTTATTGTTTAACAGAGTTAGGAGAGTTTGTAGGCTTTGAATATAGCAGGTACTGCGTTAAAGCAGCGGTCCCCAACCCCTGGGCCTCGGACCAGTACCGGGCCGCGAGAGTTGAGGCTCAGGTGTGAAATGTCTGGTTTTCAGGGTTTTTATCGGTTTTCAGCGTTATTTTGTTTTGTTTTTATCGTTTACTCGGTTTTCCTGGGTCTTTTCACGTGTGTTATGAATAAATCTTCTTTTTTTCGGTACCGGTACTGGTTTTATTTTGTTGTATTTATCCGCGACACCTTAAAGGCCGGTCTGTGAAAATATTGTCGGGCATAAACCGGTCCGTGGCGCAAAAAAGGTTGGAGACCGCTGCATTAAAGTGCTCGTCCAAATGTTAATGTATCCAGGAGAACTTTAGCTTTGAACTTTTTAACTCGCGCTGCCACAAGTTTCAAATAAAACTGATAAGTGTGAAGTAGTCAGACTCGAACGTCAAGGAACGTGATGGGGAAGCAGACTTAGGTTTCCAGAGGTGAGCAATTTATTTACAGTGAACTCCATCTTACGTGAAACTTAACAAAACTTCCCCCCAAAGTAACTAAATTAACAAAACTCAAAGTACATGGATGCGGTAAGACAGCTCACCTCTCCTCCCTCAGTCTGGCAGAGACTGGCTGTGTATAGGCCCATCAATTTCCCTTCAGTTAGTGCAGCCAGTGCCACTCACTAGAGCTGACGGACCTAAAACTCTACACAGATGACTAAGAATGACAAAAAGCTCCTCTCACTTCTGATTAGCACATTTACACAGCTAAACGGCTCTATTTATAAAAACAAAAGATTCAACAAATCCATTCGGACCTGGAAACAAACAAAAGGAAGCATTTCTATGGTAGAAGAAAGCCCTCCTCTTGGTTCAACCTGCTGATGTCATATCTGACATCATCAGCACTTTAAAATGAGGAAATGCTAGGCGGGCCTTTCCCCACACCTGACCTGCATGAAGACTGAAAGAAAGAACAAAGTATGAACAAATGACTTAATCTGCAAGATAATAAAATATGAAGAAACGTGTAACTGAGTATTTACCTTAATTTGCCAGCAACAGAACGCTTGCACAAACAAGCCCAGGTTAGTCGGGCAGCAGTGTTACTTTGACACAATAATGTGCATAACGTGCAAGAAAAGTCAACACATCTGGGACCCGTGGAGAGCATTACAATTGCTCATCTACTTTGTCACAATGAGCATGATGCCAACTCAAATTAACAACAGCACGAAGGCCTTTCATCAGTCCGCTTAAACCTGAAGAAATCGAACCCATTCATCCAGAGTTGAGTTATAAAAATATAAATATATAAAATGCTAATCTAGTAAGTAAACGTGGTGTATTGTTAAAATGAATATAGTCATTATTAGACACATTCATTTTCAAATTATGGGTAATAAATTTATTCATATTTTTTTAGATTAAGTCATTCTCAACTTCAGGCCTCAAAGATGATTCAGACACGGTGTCCATAAACAAGCTTGGAAACTGTTACTATTGTGAATCCACAGAGATCGATGCTACACTCTCATATTAGGAGAATTGTAATTTTGCGACGGCTCTTTAACGGCTGACAAACAGCACTGATAAAGCAAACGTCTAACTAACAGTCGGCAGCACTGTACAACAGTACAACGTTTACACGAGCAGCAATCTGAGCTCCGGGATTTGATTAGAAATGCTTCTTTGGTTCCCGTCACTTTAACCGGCCCCCGGCGACTCAAGCGTTCGTGTACGGGTTTTATTGTATACATTAATCTCATACATGTGATGGCTGCGCTCCAGTGGCGTGGCTTAATATGTTGTTCAATAATTGATAAAGGTGCTGCTGTCAAATGGAGCGGGAATTTGTTTTCTTAATGTTGCGAGGACGGGGACGAATGGTCATCATGGATGCAAACAGTTTGAAATTCTCACACTCACAAATCACGCCCGAGCGTGTTTCTAATTTAAATAGCTGTGATGGGTAAATGCTTGAGCAGATCCCTTAATCTGCTAATAAATCAGGCCCCGGGGAGGACGGGCTGCAGGAGGAGCCGGCTCAGCACAGGAGATGGATAAAACCACAAACCCACATGGGTTGTGGATTTTCTCAGGGATTTATGTTGTGCATCAATGTGGGGACTGCAACACATCACAGCTAAATACTCTTTAGTTTATAACCCAATTATTTCAATAATGCTTCTTTCGATTTGAGGGGAACATGAACCAGAGGATCTGTAGGGACTCGGATGGGAAGTACATTTAATGTAATGTTGCATGATTGGAGGTTCTTTACTAACAAAACTGTGGGAGATCTTTTAGTTTTGGTCCAGTAAATTACACCGATTTCTGTTATCGTGTGTTTTACTTTACTATTTTTATTATGGCTGAAATAAGGTTTGTCATCTCAGGTTGTGTTACATTTCTAGGCAGCAATCAAACTGAAAGCGACTGACCACGAGAGGTCGCTTTTCTCGAATTGTTTCTATCTGCAGAAACATTCTGGCTAATCCGAGGCGTGTTTTCAACACATTACTGATTAGTTCAACACACAACTAATCATTCCCTTTATACGTCTATGCGTCTTCTTACTTTGCCTTGGAGTCACAACAAAAATGGAAAGCAGGCCGATGTTCGCACACATTGCAGAGGACGGGGTTCAGACGCACCCTAAACCATTGGTTGTGTGTCTTCACTCAAAGTGTTCGGCTAAAAGTCCCTCACACTTTCAGCTTCTACATTTGGCTCAGTGGCACGATGTCACATGCACGTGGTAGTGGTCACACAAACATTTCTGCGACAGTTGTGATAAAGACTTGCAGCTGCAACACAATTTATTAACCTTCACTTCATCACTTCAAGATAATGATCTTATCTTTTGGAGGGAAGCAGCAGAAAACAATGAATTCTTCTAGGAGACGGTTCTTTAAGAACCCCAAGTTCCAGACACGTGGCCAAAGACTTCTTACTAATTTATGGCTGTGGGTTGTTTTGGCTTTGTTCCTTATATGTAGTGAGCTGTCAGGACAGGTTAGTATATTAATTACAACAAAAAGTGGTCATGTTGAAGGTTTCTCTAAAATATTATTATAAAAAGAAAATTGGGCTAAAAATGTGTTTATGGTGATCAAACTGCATCTCAGTAGCCCTAAAAACTGGCTTTTGTTACGATGTGGGAAACTCCATTATCAGTCAGACATTAACTGTCCAGGTTCTCAGTCACCATCAGTGACAACTCTATCTGCACAAAAAGCCAGTTTTTCAGTTCAATTCAATCCGGTTTTATTGAAATGAACAGTCACCTCGAGCAGAATGATTACTCTCTTTGTGTTCTAATTGCAAAGTGTTGGGAGAACAATTGAAAACATTTACATCTTCTAATAGGGTTAAAACTGCTGATGACATCACAGGGTTAAAATGCTAATGTATAACTGTAATACTAATGTACAGCAGTCCCTCGTTTGTCGCGGGAGTTACGTTCGAAAAATAACCCACGATAAGCGAAATCCACGAAGTAGCCAACTTTATGTTTTTTACAATTGTTATAGATGTTTTAAGGCTGTAAAACCCGTCACTACACACTTTATGCACTTTTCTCAGACAGGCGTGAACATTTTCTCTCTTGTTTACTCACAAAGTTCAAACCTTCGTAGAAGAAGAAGTCCAGTGTTATAGAATGAAACCAAAGGCTCCCGCAGGTGACGACGTTTCGTCGACATTGTTGTTTGTTGGGGAGAAAACTTACAAACACACAGTGCAGCACTTCAGAGTCGCACTGCTAGGATCGAAGATTTATGTAAATTTGACAAACTGAACACATTCTGTACTGTACAGGAGACACGGCACAAGATTGATTGACGGTGGTCTACAGCCAATCAGGACGCAGAACACAACGCGCTGTAAACTTAAATAAATAGAAAATAGAAAGTATGCAAAATTGCACAAAAAACCCGCAAAACAGCGAAGCCGCGAAAGGTGAACCGCGATTTAGTGAGGGACCACTGTAGACATGACTGCAGCAGTAACTGCTCCTTGTTTTACTGGTATTGCAGGTTTCAGAGGTTTCCCGTCACATGTATTTGGCCTCTGTCTTCTTTTGCAGATACCTGGTGCTAGAGCATGTGTCTGGTGGGGAGCTTTTTGATTACCTGGTGAAGAAAGGCCGGTTAACACCGAAAGAGGCTCGAAAGTTCTTCAGACAAATCATCTCCGCTTTGGACTTCTGCCACAGCCACTCCATATGGTTTGTCACTCAGAGACAAATATTGGGTTTTATCAGAGGGTTGGGTTTTAGCCAGGAGTGCTGGGGAGAAATGGACTTTCCATGTAACTCTGTTCTACAGGGCAAACATCAGGGTGCAGTAAAACAGATAATTTATCACAGCAATTTGTAATTATACATTTTCGAAATTACACCACTGTGTGGGTGAGTCTCAGGTAGCTCCGCCCACACACATCAAACGGACCAGGTGAGGCCAACAGGTGTTTTTACTAGGACATGGAATCATTTATGGCACAATGTTTGAAGAATATATATAAGCTGTGCTTCACAGCTCTGCTCTGAGCCATTATAAGTGCGACCGTGCACAATAAACTGATCTCGTTGCCTTTGCTTAAACCATGGGGACCAGGTCTGCAGCCACTCTCAGGAAGTTGCTGTCTTCAAAGCAACTTTGGTGTGTTAATACGGCAAAAATAGGACAGGCATCAGTCTGCTATCAGTGTGACTGAATGAGGTCAAAGGGCAATTAAATGTAATCTGTTTGTATTAATACTTAACTGTGATAAATCTGCAAAAATTGCAAGTCTGTGTCGGTTTCTTCAAATCTTTTGTCATCCTCACCCCACACAATTAAACAAAAAGTCACATGAAGTGCTCAGTGTCCAGCTGAGTCTCGTATTGCAAAGACATGTTGCAGATTTAAGGTCAGGCTGACTGCAGCGTGAGGGCAAAAATCTGTTTACCAAATGCAGTATCGTAAAACTGAGGCAGTCATAATGATAGTTAACAGAGTTCATTGCCCCGGCCTGCTTCTTCACCTTTGAGAGAATTTGCATTTAGTTTAATGTGCACTTAACGAACTAATAAAAAGATCAAAGCATTCTTACTGTAGTTTATATTCTAGGGATTGTTTATGACTTTTCTATCGTTTCTACAAACACCGGAGTGTTTGCTCCATTCGGATGTGTGAAGAACGGGTTTCCTCCTGCAGCCTCTTTCCTCATCAGCTGCAGCCGGGGCTGACTTTAGAGGCTGCAGCTCCTCTTGATCTCTTTTCATCTCTGAGACCACCTTTAGTTCCTCCACACATGACTGCAACACAAGAGCAATTGCACATCAAAGATGTTCTGCCTTTGAGCCTCAGCGTTAGACATCAAGTGTTCGACTTTTAAGAAGCACATTTATTCTCCGCTGTGTGTTTTCTGTAAGAAAGACGCACAAAAGTCGAGCTCTGTATGTCTGCGTTTTATGTCCCTCGCTGGTTTTAAGTAAAACTGTGGACTCGTATTTGACTCTTTCAGTCGCTGATGAGTTGCAATCACCTTGTCTTGATTACAGAAAACATTAAAGGCCATTTCCCTGAGGAGGTCGGGACATGACTGCGAAAGCTGGCACAGCTCTGATGACCTTCTGTATTCACTACTTTGAGTCGAGCCTCTTGGGACAATTTAAAACTGCTAAACTGATCAGTGTGGAACAGATTCTTCCAGTACATGATCCTGGTGTACTGTAGAGGCACCAGTGTTCACACTGGGAACATCACAAAATGGGAAAATGAATGTTACATTTTTAAAAGATGGACGTCCCATCACGTATTATTCTGTGCTGCCCTGGTTTAAAAGCATCAAGCTGATCTTGCTGTCACCATCACCCCTGTCCTAAAGCATAGCATGCTTCATCCTCCCACGTGACTTTAATCAGAACCATAATTTACAAAATCAATTTGTAGACTCGACTCTCTATAAGTAACGTGTTCACTGAGGTCACAGAGCAACTGAAGAGTCATTTTCCAATAGTACTTTGTAATGTCACCATTCCTGAAGGATCCTGTGGACCTCAGCGTGCAGACAATAAGACCTTGAATAAAGGTTAGAAACCAGTCTACGCTCCAGGTTCAATTATGTGTTTACTTGTTCTTTACTTGCCCTCAGACTGTTTAGCACCACCAGGGTTGCAGCTGAAAATATAAGGCCCATGTGCATGTAGAGTCATGGCTCCAGCTGGGCTCAGATTGTCTCTTATTATTTCCTGCTGTGATGTTTGTCCTGTTGAACAGAGTCATATAACCAATTCAAGTCCCTTGAAAAGCCACCACCAAGAAAATGTATCACGAGTAGACTCATGTAAGGATCTGTCTTTGCTGTTCTCTGGCAGCCACAGAGATTTGAAGCCCGAGAACTTGTTGTTAGATGAGAAGAACAACATCAGGATAGCAGACTTTGGCATGGCGTCTCTGCAGGTCGGGGACAGTCTGCTGGAGACCAGCTGCGGGTTAGTATTCAAGTTATTGACTTGCAAATTATATCAAGTGCATGTCTGACACATTATGCTTTGAGTTCTTTATAACGAGCACCAAACGTGAACATGCTGAACAGAACAATAGATGTTATTACTGTTCTAAATGTAATCCATGGTTATTATTTGCACATCTTGATTTGCATGACTTTAAATCCCTTTAACTCGCCAGTCTTTCCATTTACCTCTCAGCTGAAAACCTGCTTTAGCTCTTTGTTTCTGACTCTCTCGAGAGACATAATGGTTCACAGTGTCATTTTTCCAGCATCTTGTTAGAACCAGTTGCTATAAATCAAAAGCGTAATGAAAAATGATTGTTCCAGCAGTAGAAACCTTTCCTAGTATTTTGTTGTGTAGTCTTTGTGGGCTCTACAGGATATGTGCTGGTCAGCTGTAGGCCAAGCAGCATTTCCCAGAGTCAGCCATGTGGAACGGCTAAAGCTTGGCTGCTCTGGCTCAGAAATGCTGCACAAAGCAGGAGGGAGACAAATCTCTGCAGTCCAAGTGCTCCAGTATACAAACATGTGGACAGTTTGACCCTGTGCTGTACATGTTGTGTGCTGGCTGTGTGTCTGAATCGCCAATAAAACAAAATATGATGTGGAAATGTTGGCAAATCTGACATGTGATGTACCGATACATGCTGAGTCTTTCTTTGGGGCGTACCTCATAGTCTGATAGGATGGATACTGGAAATCTTCCATATAACTGAACCAGTGTAGGGCGTCCTTTACTGCTGGACCTAGTTTAGACTTCTGCACGTGGATTTTTTATCTGCATATTTTCAGTAATTTATGGCTGTTTGCTGGGCATTCAGTGCAGCTGGCAGTACGCGTGCATCGATTGGATTCAGTGGGGCTTTCGAGTCGCTAATAGTCTTCAAGCTCACGCTGACACTGTGTCCGTGTTGGGGTCTGTCAGATTAGTCTTTCGCTGAGCGATCCTTTAAATATCTCTCGTAAGTCAAAAGATTCTTTCACTTCATGTGACGTTAATGGAATTCATTAAATGAGCAAGCTGCCTCCAGCAGGAAGGATGAAAATTAGCTCGGGTGTAATTAGATTGCAGTTAGTGTATTTTGACATGACTGTGTTTGAGTAGTTCAGATCGACTGGGTTTACATACATTATCATAATTAAGTATGTTGCGAGTGAAGATGGAGTGTTTGTTTACTCTGCGAGTTTATATGGGATGCTGCTGGAAGAAGCCATGCTCTGTGCTTCGTTTATTCCATGATGAATCCGCACAGGGAAGCTCCAGAGTACAGTTAGTTCTGCTGCAATTGTGCAATTATTAGATTATTTAGAATGCAGACATGAGAGGAAATACTAGAGAAAAATGACCATGTTTCAAAAAGCAGAAAGTGCAATATTTAAACAGGAAGGCAAAGAGCACAGAGCCCATATTTTGGCACCGTGCATTGTCAGTACTTAACGCTCCCTTTGACTCTATCACAGCTCGTGGCGCTCTTTCTGCAGCACTTCAGATTCTTTTTACTTTCTGGCATATTTTCGCTCATTGCTTCTGCAAGTGTCTGCTACGACTGTGAGATTCTTTATCCATCTTCCTGCACTGCTCTTTGAACACTCAGATTTTCACTGATGGGGGTTGTGAACTGTGAGAAACATGGCAAAACTTTTGTGCCTCTTCAGGTCGTCTGTTGTGGATTTTGAAGGATTATTCTTCTATTATAGAGGATTTTCTCTTTGAAATTGTCTTGCAAAGTCTGACAACCATCACAGCAGAGATGGTTGAATTCATTCTTCCATTGACCATCGTTCAACAGTCTGCAGAAAAGACTCCTGCAGTCCAACGAGTGGTTTGGATATCTTACAAGCTGTTATTAGAAACTGAGGAAATTGCACTAGCGGCATAGGATGCAGTGATGAGCAATGTAGCATCACAGCAAGACGATTCCTGGCTCAAACCTCTGGTCGGGGCGTTTGTGAAGATGTTGCATGTTGTTGGTTTCCCCTTACAGTTCAAGGCCTTTCGCCCAGTGTCACCTGGGACATGGATGGATGGATCCACTGGGATGGATCGAAGCTGACTTCTTCTTTGTGGGCATCAGTTATGCTAGTTTTCAGAGCGCTATTAAGCTGTTTAGGGCCTTGGTTTCAGAGTCACAGTATCAGAGGCTTAAAGACATACCTGCACTTGACAGATATGCTCTTAAAGGTCTGGCACTATGATAAACGACATAAAAGAAAGCCCATGTCGCTTTTCTAAAGACATTTTTTTGTCTGCCGTGCGTTATCCAATAAGCCGAGCCGCCACAGCACAAGATTCTGTTTTGAGGCTGTTCGATGTTATGTAATACTCTTTAAGCATAAAGAAATCTGTCATGCAATAAAGACTGATGTCATTATTTTAATGCATGTGAGGTAAAGACTTGCGTGTTTCAAGGAACTGCTATCCAGAGCATCAGCTGATACTTCCCCAGTGTATTTATTGTGCTTCATGTTGTATCCTGAATGGCTGCCTCTTCTTACAGATCTCCACACTACGCCTGCCCAGAGGTTATCAGGGTAAGTGCTCGCTCTCTTCTTGTCTGTCTCTTTCTTTCATTCAATAATAGGAGCTCTGAATCAGAGTGGCTCTTACATCACTGCTCCATCCTCTCTGCATTCACCAGGCTTCCTCATTCCCTCTCACTTGTGCGTCTCTATTGCCATATTTCTTTTTATTCCTACTTCCAGCTGCCCATACCTGTACATCTTCATAAAGTCAAGACTTTTTCAGTTTGATCCCTTTTTCTGTGATAGGGTCTTAGTTTTGATTATCATGGGGCACTTCTATCAACAGTATGCCCCGAGTGAGTGCTCTGTACTCTCTGAGGGAAAGGGTCGTAATCTGCATGGTTTATTTTTTTATTAAATATTTCTCCCAAGTCAAAAACACAAAGTTGCTGTTTAAAAATGACTGTTTCAAATGTAAGAAATAGACATTGTTTTTAGTGGACAGCAGCCCAGCTGTGTTTCTATGCTGTCAACATTCAAAATAGTTAAGCATTGAACACATGACTGTAAAATCAAACTGCGACAAAGGGCGGTACTTTGGTTCTTTTCAAGGTTTAACCCCCAAAACATCATTAATTATGAGCATTTGTGATTTAGTGTTGTTGTTTACTAATAATTCTTCATTAACACTTCTACAGTGGCTTGCAAAAGTGTTCGGCCCCCTTGAACTTTTCCACATTTTGTCACATTACAGCCACAAACATGAATCAATTTTATTGGAATTCCACGTGAAAGACCAACACAAAGTGGTGCACACGTGAGAAGTGGAACGAAAATCATACATGATCCAAACATTTTTTACAAATAAATAACTGCAAAGTGGGGTGTGCGTAATTATTCAGCCCCCTGAGTCAATACTTTGTAGAACCAGCTTTTGCTGCAGTTCCAGCTGCCAGTCTTTTAGGGTCTGTCTCTACCAGCTTTGCACATCTACAGACTGAAATCTTTGCCCATTCTTCTTTGAAACAGCTCCAGCTCAGTCAGATTAGATGACAGCGTTTGTGAACAGCAGTTTTCAGATCTTGCCACAGATTCTGGATTGGATTTAGATCTGGACTTTGACTGGGCCATTCTAACACATGGATATGTTTTGTTTTAAACCATCCCATTGTTGCCCTGGCTTTATGTTTAGGGTCGTTGTCCTGCTGGAAGCTGAACCTCCGCCCCAGTCTCAAGTCTTTTGCAGACTCCAAGAGGTTTTCTTCCAAGATTGCCCTGTATTTGGCTCCATCCATCTTCCCATCAACTCTGACCAGCTTCCCTGTCCCTGCTGAAGAGAAGCCCCCCCAGAGCATGATGCTGCCACCACCATATCTGACAGTGGGGATGGTGTGTTCAGAGTGATGTGCAGTGTTAGTTTTCCACACATAGCGTTTTGCATTTTGGTCTCATCTGACCAGAGCAGCTTCTTCCACATGTTTGCTGTGTCCCCCACATGGCTTGTGGCAAACTGCAAACGGGACTTCTTCTGGTTTTCTGTTAACAATGGCTTTCTTCTTGCCACTCTTCCATAAAGGCCAACTTTGTGCAGTGCACGACTAATAGTTGTCCTATGGACAGATTCCCCCACCTGAGCTGTAGATCTCTGCAGCTCGTCCAGAGTCACCATGGGCCTCTTGGCTGCATTTCTGATCAGCGCTCTCCTTGTTCGGCCTGTGAGTTTAGGTGGACGGCCTTGTCTTGGTAGGTTTACAGTTGTGCCATACTCCTTCCATTTCTGAATGATGGCTTGAACAGTGCTCCGTGGGATGTTCAAGGCTTGGGAAATCTTTTTGTAGCCTAAGCCTGCTTTAAATTTCTCAATAACTTTATCCCTGACCTGTCTGGTGTGTTCTTTGGACTTCATGGTGTTGTTGCTCCCAATATTCTCTTAGACAACCTCTGAGGCCGTCACAGAGCAGCTGTATTTGTACTGACATTAGATTACACACAGGTGCACTCTGTTTAGTCATTAGCACTCATCAGGCAACGTCTATGGACAACTGACTGCACTCAGCCAAAGGGGCTGAATAATTACGAACACCCCACTTTGCAGTTACAGTGGGGCAAAAAAGTATTTAGTCAGCCACCGATTGTGCAAGTTCCCCCACTTAAAATGATGACAGAGGTCAGTAATTTGCACCAGAGGTACACTTCAACTGTGAGAGACAGAATGTGAAAAAAAAATCCATGAATCCACATGGTAGGATTTGTAAAGAATTTATTCGTAAATCAGGGTGGAAAATAAGTATTTGGTCACCTCAAACAAGGAAAATCTCTGGCTCTCACAGACCTGTAACGTCTTCTGTAAGAAGCTTTTCTGTCCCCCACTCGTTACCTGTATGAATGGCACCTGTTTGAACTCATCATCTGTATAAAAGACACCTGTCCACAGCCCAAACAGTCAGACTCCAAACTCCGCCATGGCCAAGACCAAAGAGCTTTCGAAGGACACCAGGAAAAGTATTGTAGACCTGCACCAGACTGGGAAGAGTGAATCTACAATAGGCAAGCAGCTTGGTGTGAAAAAATCAACTGTGGGAGCAATCATCAGAAAATGGAAGACATACAAGACCACTGATAATCTCCCTCGATCTGGGGCTCCACGCAAGATCTCATCCCGTGGGGTCAAAATGATCATGAGAACGGTGAGCAAAGATCCCAGAACCACACGGGGGGACCTGGTGAATGACCTGCAGAGAGCTGGGACCAAAGTAACAAAGGTCACCATCAGTAACACACTACAACGGCAGGGAATCAAATCCCGCAGTGCCAGACGTGTTCCGCTGCTGAAGCCAGTGCATGTCCAGGCCCGTCTGAAGTTTGCCAGAGAGCACATGGATGATACAGCAGAGGATTGGGAGAATGTCATGTGGTCAGATGAAACCAAAGTAGAACTTTTTGGTATAAACTCAACTCGTCGTGTTTGGAGGAAGAAGAATACTGAGTTGCATCCCAAGAACACCATACCTACTGTGAAGCATGGGGGTGGAAACATCATGCTATGGGGCTGTTTTTCTGCCAAGGGGACAGGACGACTGATCCGTGTTAAGGACAGAATGAATGGGGCCATGTATCGTGAGATTTTGAGCCAAAACCTCCTTCCATCAGTGAGAACTTTGAAGATGAAACGAGGCTGGGTCTTCCAACATGACAATGATCCAAAACACACCGCCCGGGCAACAAAGGAGTGGCTCCGTAAGAAGCATTTGAAAGTCCTGGAGTGGCCTAGCCAGTCTCCAGACCTCAACCCCATAGAAAATCTGTGGCGGGAGTTGAAAGTCCGTGTTGCTCGGCGACAGCCCCAAAACATCACTGCTCTCGAGAAGATCTGCATGGAGGAATGGGCCAAAATACCAGCTACTGTGTGTGCAAACCTGGTAAAGACCTATAGTAAACGTTTGACCTCTGTTATTGCCAACAAAGGTTATGTTACAAAGTATTGAGTTGTATTTTTGTTATTGACCAAATACTTATTTTCCACCCTGATTTACGAATAAATTCTTTACAAATCCTACCATGTGGATTCATGGATTTTTTTTTCACATTCTGTCTCTCACAGTTGAAGTGTACCTCTGGTGCAAATTACTGACCTCTGTCATCATTTTAGGTGGGGGAACTTGCACAATCGGTGGCTGACTAAATACTTTTTTGCCCCACTGTATTTATTTGTAAAAATGTTTGGAATCATGATGATTTTCGTTCCACTTCTCACGTGTGCACCACTTTGTGTTGGTCTTTCACCTGTGGAATTCCATAAAATTGATTCATGTTTGTGGCTGTAATGTGACAAAATGTGGGAAAGTTCAAGGGGGCCGAATACTTTTGCAAGCCACTGTATTTCTATAAATTTGGGACTACAAATGATTTTAGATGCTAATTTTATACATTTTTGAGAAATGAGGGCTGCGATTTTTGGTCAGTTAATGTGTTAAGGCCCAGAGCAGCCAGGGTGATGTTTGGGAAACATTTTAGGATGAAGCTCATCTCTGTGTGTGTCTGCATGTGTGCACCAGGGGGAGAAGTATGATGGGAGGAAAGCCGATGCGTGGAGCTGTGGAGTCATCCTGTTTGCACTTTTAGTGGTAAGTGACTTCTCCTACTGCATTGCAATGGCAGAAAATGGCCTGGACATTGTGCTTTTACAGTCATTTTGACACGCGTTTGGCATCTTCATGCAACAGCAGTGAAATTCATAACATTTCCAGACACAACCAAAATATTGAAGAGCTGCAAACATTGCAGAAAAAAGAAGCAAAAAGACAAAACACTGAGATTAAAAACAGCTACAATTGTGTGATAAATGACCATAAAGTATTACTAAGAGATGCGAAATGCCCACAAAGAAACCAAATAGTTTAAATATAATATGTAATGACAAACTGAACAAAAATACAAAAAGGTGCTAAAGAAAATCAAAAACTCATGAAGAGGGATGCGAACAACTGTAAAAAGAGGAGCATCGTATCCACGAGGAAGCACAACAGAATCATAACATTAAAATAGTTACATTTTCTAAATCTGGCAACTCCTGATCTGATACAACGTGACAAGGGAAAAAACCAAAGGGGCGGAGTTAATTCAGCTTTTTCCTTCGCAAAGTATTTATACTGTATACAGCCGGGATAAAGTAAAAAAGATCGTGAATTACTTCTGGACAAAGTAAATCACCTGATGGGAGCACTCTGCATCCTTTGGTACACCTGGAGTCTGTGGATTCCACCAGCCAGGATTAAATTAAAGATGGGCTGCTGGAAACACAATGTGTACTGATAAAATATTAAAACCACATTATAAATAAAATGGGTACAGACAGGATGTTCTCCTTTCCTTTGTAACGGGCCTCTTTGTTCTAAATTGTGAATCGACAAATGACCGACTGCAGAAGAATGTTTCCACAACAGAAATCTGTGTTTCATAAGTGACAAAACACGGTGATCGATCATTTAGGGCCAGTCATAGGCTGGTGTGTGCAAATGTGGCTGCTGGTTGCATACATCTACATGCACATTATGTTCCTGTGCCGTAACGACCGTAGCTTTGCCTTTTCAGGAGAACTCTGTGGAATCTGTTGTGTTTGCAGTGACTGTTTATCTCTGCAGGAGATGCTAATAGCACATTTGTGAGTGAGAGTCCACCTCTGACCTTGGTTTGTCTCATTGTTCCCTCTTGCTTGAATGGCTAGCTTAAATGATTCATAATTACTAAATATTATTATACCAGCATATCATATGTATGTGCACGTACAGCCTTGATGCCCTGAATCTAAATGAGACTTTAGTTCTTTAATCACTGTTTTGTAGAAAATAGTGCTGTCAGCGTTAACCTCGTTAAAATGACGTTAACGCCATAACTGCATTAACGCAACAAACCTCCGTTAGCGAGTTAGCACGGATCGCCCCGTGCGTGGGGCTGCACAGTGTTAACGAGCGATCCGCGCTAACCGCCTAACGTAGATTTGTCGCGTTAATGCGGTTATGGCGTTAACGTCATTCTAACGAGGTTAACGCTGACAGTACTAGTTGAAACATGAGAAAATGCAGGTTAGAGAGCTCGCTTTGTTTGGTTTGATCAAAGGATGCTCAATTTTAAAATGCAGTTAGAGATTCTGTCCGTCCATAAAATAATCAACTTATTCTTGTCAAGCTAATAGATACATTTAGACCCGGACCACGTGTACGAGGCTTTATTATGGTAAATATGGCAGCTTGTATGTAGTTTGGCCATGGGTAAAACTGGGCCTCTGAAAAACTCTGGATTTTGTAAATTCCAGGTTGTGGGAAAATAAAATATTTATGTGGGGAAAATCCAGTTTATCCTAATATTGTTTTTTTCTTTCCCCTACAAAATGATTTGAATATGTCAGCTTTGCTTCGCGCGGACACATCACATACGAAGGCTTTTCATACCAGCAGCTCTGTAACATGATAGTAGTGAGTAAATGACTGTTTGTTTTGGTGCCGTGTGAACACACGAGTGTTTTATCCTCTTGATGAAGATGGATCACATAACACAGTCATCATGTGAAGATAAATCTCTCTGCTGGTGTTGTTTTGATTACCACGCAGTGTCAGTGACCATCTGGCTTCATCCTGCTTGTTTTTTTTATGAGGAGGAAATGGTATCAGTCATCATGTTATTGAGCGTGTGCCCTAGCTGGAGAGCAGAGGCAGAGCCGGCTGGCTGCAGTACAGAGTGCCTCATCATCACTCACTCTGATGACTGATACCTCTCGCAAAACTGCCTCTGGTCACCTTCTTTGTCAAACGGCAGATTATCTCTCAGGGCACACCTGACAGGCCGGCTACATGACAACAGGCAGATGTCAGCGCTGGGCCATGTGATCTCGTGTTGCTGGTGTGCTTTTAATACAGAACTGCTTAAACAAATAAATACAAAGAACCAGGATCTGCTGTGCTCGTTTTTAGCTCCATATCTTCATTCTTGGTAGTTTGCATGATTCACAGAGCAATCCACAAATTAATAATAACTTATTAATAATTATTGAGTAATTATTTAGGTTGTACCAGGCCTAGAGGCGACATCACTGCTCATCCACTAACTGAAAGCTACTTTAGCTCCTCCCCCTTTAAGGCTGTCACCACTTTCCTCTGATTGCCTTCTGCTCATCAACAGAAAGCTTAAGTAGCCAGTGGGCGGGGCTTCTGTGCTTCATGTGACCAACTGTAGATATCCACTCTCACTGACATTATGAAGATCTGGGAGTACAGAACAATCTGAAGTGGAGCGTTTACAGAATTGGGAAGACTTTAGACTCCAAAGGAGTATCTACAGCTATGCTGACCTTTATTAAGACCATGTTATTAAAAAGTAACCACCACTACAACAGGATGTATAACAGAAAATAAGGGATTGAAATGTGTAAATGTTTAGACGTTACCATTGTGCCTTTTCTTAGGGTGCTCTTCCTTTTGATGACGACAACCTGAGAAACCTGCTGGAGAAGGTGAAGCTGGGAGTTTTCCACATGCCTCACTTTATCCCTCCAGACTGTCAGAACCTTCTGCGTGGCATGATTGAAGTAGACCCCATCAAGAGGCTGACGGTAAGCTGCTGCAGTCTGCCCACGTCACATCACCCCCTGGCCCGATTCGTTATAGACCCGGAGAGGACTGAGGTCCTCCATCAGCGTGACTGTGGTCGCTTTGCATTTTTATGATCTCTGGCTGCTGCCTTAGGAACTACATGCTGCACTTGTGCTAAATTTAGCACATTTGCACTGTGACTGACCTTGCAGCTACTGTTCTTTCCTTTCATCTAAAGCCAAAGATTTGTTTAGAAGACAATCATTGCAAATATAACAAAAGTACTGTTAGATAATCTGCTTTCACTTCATTTTCTTCTGCAGGTTAAGCAGCTGTGTTAGGCATCATACTGCAGCTGATAAATCTGTAACTCAGGAGTAAGAACAGCATAAAAGTGTAAAACGAAATCAAACACCAAAGAAATGATAAACAAGTCACAGAGAAACTATTTTTAAAAACTAGTTTTATAAAGAAGATTTGAAAGAAAAGGCTTTTAAACTTTTACACTACGAACCTCCCTTCCTGCATCTGTTTCCCTTTATTCCAGCTAAGTCATAGCCTAGGTTTACTTCACTGCAGTTAGCCGGACGGTGGCTGTAGGGTCTGCTCCTGTTCATTGCTCCTGAGCTTTAAAAAGGCTGGAAAAAGCTGCAGTGTGCAGTTAACCAGCATGCTCACCAGTGTGCCTCGTTGTGGTGAAGTGGACACTGGATCCTGCAACTTAATGCTGTTTGATAAAGACGCCCATTCCCTGGATCTTCAGAGACCATTGAGCCTGCTCGTCTTTGTCAGTTTCACTTGGAAATCATTCATTAATGTTTATTTGTCCTTACAGTTGGAGCAGATCCAGAAGCATACGTGGTATCTGTGAGTACAGACACTTGAGTTTATTTTCGTCTGCTTCTGTCTTGGTTCAGTGTGTATGTGCATGTCCGCTTAAAGTGATGTGATGAAAGAAAAACGCCACAATGCAGAATGAAAATAATAAGAGTGTTTTTTGAACTCTCTGATGGAGACCTCTCAGAGAGGAATCGTGTCCATTAGTCCTGAGAGTGAGAGCTGTGTTTGCTCCAACGCTGAGAGGCCAGATCATCAGGATGCTCTAATGCACCTCTGATTTCTAATGGATGTAATATTTCTGGATTTTAAAACTCAAATTATTTTGATTTGAAATCACACAGAGGGTCACACAGTTCAGTAAAACCTTATTTCACTGATTTTTGCCATCTTACTAAACATTTTAGATTGCTTTTTTGTGTCACCACCAAAACACCACCACCACCACCACTAAAGCTCTTACTGTGTATAAATGTATCCTCTTATCAAAAGCAAGTCTTGCCAGATTTTTGGCCTGCTTGACAAACCTCTGTGCATCTTTGGTTCGATTACTTTACTACTTACTAACTTTCCACCAAATTTAACTTTTCAAAAGCTTTTTCTGATCATTGAATTTAAGGACTGAGCTTCTCTTTTGTTGGGAAGCTTTAGTGTCTTCACCAGAGCGTTTGATTGTTTATGTTGCAGAGCTGGAAAGAACGAGCCAGAACCCGAGCAGCCCATCCCCAGGAAGGTGGCCATCAGAACACTTGCTTCGGTCGAAGAGATCGACCCCGACGTCCTGGAGAGCATGCACTCCCTGGGCTGCTTCAGAGACAAGGACAAACTGACCAAAGATCTGCTGTCTGAGGAGTGAGTGACAATCAAGGGACGAGGGAGCAAAAAGTCATTTACAAAACCACACATGAAGCAGATTGAAAGGGTGGGAGGCGCTGAGACGGAGAAGAGAAATATATTAGAGACTGCTTGACAAACTGTCAGCTTGATGAATTATTTCACTTGCGATGATCAACCGTCTTTTTGTTCCAGTCTCAACTGCTGGGTGCTCAGCTCACGGTCATCTCTCTTTGTCTCTACAGGGACAACCAGGAAAAGATGATCTACTTCTTGCTACTGGACCGGAAGGAGAGGTATCCCAGCCACGAGGACCAGAACCTGCCACCACGCAACGAGATCGGTAGGCCAGTCTAACCAATATCTGTCATTGGTCCATACATGAATGTCTCAACGAGTATTTGATGTTTTGCTAATATCTTTGGAACGCATGGTCATCAGCCCCACATGACTGAATTTTAATACCTTTGGTCATCCCCTTAACCCCTTAGGGTTTGGCTCAGCAGGTTTTGTTAACATGCTAAGCATGTTTATACAGTAAATCAAACTGGAGTAAGGCAAATGAAGCAATGAAGGTTTTAAATGCCAACATTTTTTTTGATCCCATATGTTTTGATTTTTTTTTAATTATTTCATCCAGGATTGCCACAAACCTATTTTACAAAAAATATACATGTTGTTTGATTCCAGTTTTGAACTATCTCTATTAACTTTGAAAGCAACTCAAATCTACCAATAACCTGTTGTCTGTCAGTGTCCATGCCAATTTAAACTAGTTTAATTAAGGAGTAGCATTCAGACTCCATCTTATAGAGATTAAGTATTATCTGCATTTCTGTTTGAGTAAGTTCCTACTAATTTTTATTTTAATATTAATATTAATATTAATAGAAACTAGCAACTTAAAAAGGGTGTTTATATTGAATTCATTCAGGTTCATCAAAACCGATGGCTATCCGGTCTTTAAGTCTGATGTCATTAGCCATGTCTGGGTCCAAACTCCGCTTCAGGTCCCAAAGTCAAACGAACACTGCAGCATCACTGAGAGTTAAAAACTGTCTAAATTCTTTCATCTTTAATAAAATAATCAGCGTTGCTGCTTTACCAGGTTTAACAATTAATTTTAACATCCAGGCATCCATGAAAATAGAATTTATTACATTTAACGATGTTAGACGTTAGCAGGAAGTTAGCTTGCTAGTTTCCACCTAAACCTGATATAGCATGTTCTGACTGAGAGATTTCTAGAAAAATTCAAATGTACAGCTCTGCTATCACTTCCAACATAAATGAAGACAGAAAACTAAACAGCAGTGACGTTTGTAGGGTTATTGAAGTTGGGCTAGCCTTTATATAATGATGTGCTACGTGGTGGCTAGCAACACAGCTATGTTAGCATAACATTAGCACAGTGAAGCTGGAGGATGAACGCTAACTTTTTTCCACTTGATTAAAAGTTAACGTGAAGGTTCCCGATGGTTAGAGACAAATGTAATCGCATGGCAGGATGCTGTAAACGGACCAAACTTCAGTCAGGAGAACAACTGAGATAATCCATCCACAATACAAGGTTAGTCATTCATACACTGCTGCATGGGCTGAGCTGTAGTAGTTACATGTAAGGGTTTAAAAACCGAGCTTTAAAATGAACAATGGTAATAAAAACTGAGAGCGATCACTGACTGTTTTTAGAGGTTTGTTGAGGTTAAGTAGAACAAGATACAAACATTTTAAAACACAACAGCCTTATTAAACGCAGAGTAGTTTGGACCCGGAAGCAGGATTAATCACGTCATCACTTATAGTAAGCTAGTTTATGACTGTCTCTCTAGTTAGCCGATTTTCTATAAATGTAGGTTTGCCATTTTCACTTTTCATGCTGTTAGTGACTTTTGCTTTGGTTTTTGCTTGGATAGTTAAATACACTCTTTTTATGAGTATAGCTCTGTGGTTAGCTATCTTTTTGTGGAAGAGTGCAGAGTGAGCTAGCTAACAAAGCTACACAGTCTTTGTGTACTACATGTAGAACCTTTTTTCCTGCAACTTGTCCTGTCAAACCTACAGCTTGAAGTCCATATAAAATTCTTTTTTTTTCTTCTGCCTGTCCCGTTTGGATCTTTAGCCATCAGAATTGTTGTCTTAAGGCCAAGAAATATGCCAAGCGGATTTACTTTACCAAGTGGATCATCATGGCCTCGCCATATTGGTCCATTTGATTGACCTTTATTATAATTATGTATTTATTTGATTTGATTTTTGGTTGTTACAGACGGGACAGACATGACTGGGGGATAGGACAGGGAGAAAGAATGAAAGAAAGAGAGGGAGAGAAAGAAAAATAGAGGCGAGGAGAGATGGTGAGAAAGGGGGGGAAAAAAAACAAGAAAAACAAACAAAACACCTGGATCACCTGTATGAAGATAAAAAACCAGAAGAGAAAACAAACAACAAAGAGCAACATAATAAAAACAACACCATCATAATAAACTAGATAACAGTAGATAACAGTAAATACTAAATATTACATGTTATTGTGCAGTACGCAAGATTGACAGCGCACAATGTGCTTTGAGGTAGCAGCCAAGAAAGGTGTAGTTTGTGTCTGTGAACACCTGTGTGGATCAGCACGCTTGTATTCAAAGGGTTTCTCCTTGTAACGATCTGCTAGGGAGTGTCATCGGTATTTTAATGTGTTGAAGTAAAATTTAGCTAATGTTAGCCATTTAGAAAAAGCTAATTTACCAAATTAAAGCTAAATATATGCTAATACAGTCATGTTTTGACATACTGATTAGCTTTTTAATGTGAAACTGATAATAGCTGCGATACCAAGAAAAGGTATTTTGTGTTTGTTTGCTATCTTCTTTATCCATGAGCGTCTTCCTTCCACAGAAAAAAGTAAGTGGAAAATCCTGACTAAATGTATGTCAAATGACAAAATTTGGTATGCTTGTCCAAATACAGGAACGCATTTTGTTTTCTACTCTGCTCCTTTAAAGTGGTGTCCTAGGTTACATGTAGAGGGGTAAAAAGAGCATAATGAATAGCTTAGGGGGCTGAAGTGTTCTGATAAACTGAACCTTTCAGTTAGTATTTCACCTTTAATTTACTGTTTTATATCAGCTTTATGAGATTCTACCATTTGATAAATATAGAATAACGTGTTATTTTTGTATTCTTCTGACTGTTTTTTGTTTTTTAATGATCACTTTTAATGTTTTTGCCTTTGTCTTTTTCCTTCTCATCTCGGCTCACCCTGGGCCCGCTCAGCAGACCCTCCCAGGAAGCGTGTAGACTCCCCCATGCTGAGCCGTCACGGCAAGCGGAGGCCGGAGAGAAAGTCCATGGAGGTGCTGAGCGTCACAGAGGGAGGGTCTCCTGTACCGGTGCGGCGAGCCATCGACATGGCCACGCACGGACAGAGGTAAAAGACCGAGATTGGCACGTGTGCTCGTGTGCATGGACAAACATGTTTCTCCAGGTCAATCAAGGCTGTTTGCTGTTGTTTAAAGTGTCATTGATGAGTTTTGAATTGATTATCAGTTATGATAAATAATGCATTTAATCACAGTTTACAGCACTTTATCAAAATTGGACTGGTCTTTTAAAAATATTAATTTCACACGTGTACTGTTTGCCCTCAGTACGACTTTACTTCAATCTTTCGTTTCACTGAGCTCTGTCAGGTTTACTGGGAAGTCTCTCAAACAGCTGTAAGTCCTTCCATGCTTCAGTGAACTGTGGTTAAATACATGATGCATTATTCTTTCTCTGGTGGTGTCAGACATACAATACACATCACAAAAGGCTTGATGTAATCTCTGGGTTTAGATCTGCCTGAGACTAACGGTGCACTCTTAGCTCTGGCGGAAATTCATCACAGATGTTGAAATGCATGGACCGGTCTCTCAGGTTTGTGCGTGGTGTGGGTAAAGTGTGCATGGAGCATGCAGGACAAGAAGCATCCGGGTTTGAGAAGCTGTGAACTGAAATCCATTTAGCAAGCGGGCGTGCACGAAATCTGTGGATGTTTTTGTAGTCGAGCTGTGACAAAATAATGGAGGAGATTGTAATCCATGTGTTTCCTGCTTCCTAATAACCTTGTATGGACATGGGTGTACACACATATACTGTATGACAAACAGAAAAAAATAGATGATAATGTGAAACCCTACATGACGAGCTGAAGCAACAGCATGTTGTTTACTAGAGGAGTGAGGTATTAGTATGAGACAAATGTTCTAAATCTTCTAAAAACATATATATATAAAAAATATCTTATTAACTTATTATCTGATGGCGTCTGAGAATAATGCGAGTGAGCGGTCTTCATCAGTCCTGGCTCTGCAGCTCCCTCACCAAAACCAGAGTAGGAGTGAAAATGCAGCTGAGGGTCAATCCCATGCTGCAGGAAACTGCAGACGATGTCCAAACTGTATTGTCGTTGTCGGCGGTTTATGTGTGAAAACAAGCTTTCATCAAGCTACCACATTAAATTACTTACTTTATATTCAGATGCAGTAGAAACGATTGATGGAGCATCAATTTAATGGCCTGATGGACTTCTGTAGCCAATGGTTGACACTGTGGTGGCTGTATGTGTTTTTTATATTATCTGTGTGTTTAAAAGAGAGCAAGCTAACACATTTAATTCAATATATGCTCTGGATGTGTTTTGAGTAATTTATGGTGTCATAGAAGAGGTTAAGTAGAAGGAGCTGAAGATCTTTGTGGTTCTCTTTCATAGCATTCGTTTCCTGTCTCTTGTGTGACCTTATCAGAAGCTCAAATGCCTTTATGCCAGCTACGTGATGCCCAGACAGTGGGATAGCTCAGTAGGTAGAGTGTTTGCCCCATGACCGGAAGGTCGGGGGTTCAAATCCACCAAACGGCTACCTTGAGGTACCCTTGAGCAAGTTACCGTCTCTGCACACTGCTCCCGGGCGCTGGATTGGTATCTGCTCACTGCTTCTTCTCATTTTTAACAGAAGAGTGGAAAGACACCTGTGCTATTGGGTGCTAGCATACAAGCAGTAGCAATACTGTCCTGTGGCTAATGTTGGTGTCAAGTAGCAATACTTTCACCCCGGGAAGTAGCAATCTTTTCCCAAAGCAAAGTAGCAACACTTTGCTAATAAAGGTACCACTAGCTTTATCATCAGGTAGCAATACCCTTCGGCGCTAACGGTTTCTCACATTAGGTAGCAATACCTGTAGAAAAGTACTTTTCACCCCATGCTAGCTGAAGAATAGCAATATTCTCTGGACTTTAGTGAGTTGTAGAGCTCGCTAACATTCACAACTCTCTAGCTAACCATGACTATGACTGACAACAAAGTTGCAAAACTTTGTCCTTGCAGCAAGTAGATTTCTGCCTGGGATACACACCCCGTGTGTGCGGCATGCCTTTGCTTATCGCATGCACAAGCTACCATGACATCCATACACAACTGTATCCAACGCGCGGCTTTCACACACAAACTACTCCGCCACAGGCTAGCTCACCAGGCTAACCTGTTGGGTGGCGACCCTTTGCTGTGTGAGGCTGCTTTCCCGTCACTGGAGACACATGGAATATGTAAATTTTTCCCCCATGCTTGAGTCACCCTGGATTGGAGATGCTAACGAGGACAGAGATGAGTCAGGTGACACGGAGCTCCTGCAGTCTGACGATGAGGAGGAAGAGTCCAACTCCTTGGCTAGCATCAGCTTGGTTGAAAAGCCCTCGGCTACCGGTGAGGTAGAAAAATCTGCACTGCCGTCTCCCCTGGACATGCAGGACGTGTGCAAGCGCACAGCTGCTAGGCTCAACATCCCGTGGCACGGCGTGCAAAGCGAGGTTGTAAAATCTCGTTTTGATGGTGAGAAATATCCAAAGGCAAAAAAGACGGGAAAGCATGTGTTGCCCGTTTCCCCAGAGCTACTTGATGAGATATAAGTGATGGGGAAAGAAAAGACATACAGCGAAAAACACCCCATGGTGGGGAGCTCCCTTCTGGTTTATGAGAGAATGGAGTCAAATGCCACAAGTGGAACTGTTAATATTGAGCCATCTTCACCTGAAGACATCTATGTCCTCATCACCCCATCCCTCCTCTCCAAGACAGACCGCTTCCAGTCTAGCCTTACAAATAAAGTGCTAAAAGGCAGCAGGTCTGTGGGTAAGAGCCCACAACGCTGCCTCTATGCTAATGGCTTACCAAGCCAAGCTAGAAAAGGACATGACAGCTAAATCAGATACCACAGTGTGGGAAGAAATCTGCGTCATAACTCACCACGTCCTCCACCTCCACAAGGTAGCTGTACAGGCTGCTGGGAGAGCCATGGGTCTCATGATTATCCAGGAGCCGACACTCTGGCTCGGGCTCACCAACCTGCTGACTAAGAAAAAAGAGGAGCTCCTCGACACCCCTGTCGCCCCTCAAGGACTCTTCGGCGCGGCTGTTATATCATTGCAGAAGAGATGTGAGGAGAAAAAGAGAGGTGACAAGGCTCTTCTCTAGGGCCTTGGGCCGCTGTGCCTCTACCCAGGTCCTTTTCAGAGCAAGTTCAATGGGACATGTTCCACACAGAAGGCAGAACTCGGGCCGGCGTTCCCGTCACTGGACCTTTCAGAGGGAAACAGCAAAAGATTGCAGTGTTGTTTCACAAGCACGTCTCTCATGCATTTTGGATTAAACTGCGATAATGCAGACGTGCCCGTTGCCTCCGTCGCAGGTGAGGAAGATGACAGGACACCGCGATGGCGAATGTTGGCAACCACAATAGTGCAGCCTGCGTGAGCTTTGAGATCACCTGGTCTGCTGTGTTCTTGTTGTCAGAACATGAAAAACTGTTTCTCTTCATATAAAGCAAATTGTACATTTGCAGTATACATTTTTCTTGTTCAAAAACCATATTCTAAATGCTGACATATGCTATGCTGGAGTTTTCATACAAATTGTTGTACGCTGCTCTGCTCGTGATGAGCTGCACTCAGCAGGTGCTGTCTGATTTGTTACACTTCAGCAGCTTTAACAGCCCGCGCGTCTGGCTGCGTTCTCCTATTTCTGAGGATTATTCAGACAATAAAGCTGAACATTACAGCTTGTAAAAATGTTTCAGAGGTGCAAAAATACAGAAACTGATTGTTTACGGTAAGGGAGTGTGTTGAATGTCCCACTGACTCCAGCATGATCCATGAATGTGTGTCTCTTAATTTTTGACTCCTTAGTTCTCGATCTCTGCATGTATTTGAGGTTTTTTAGTTCTTGGGTTCTTGGTAATTTTTGTCTTGTTTTGTTTTAGTTTCACAGTAATAAATTAGTTTCAAGATTTATTTTTAACAGGCTCGCATGTTGCACATTAGGTTTTCCCTTGCTTGACTGCCTTTCTGTCTATCTCTTGATTTTTCTTTTCTGCCCCCTTTTTAGCAAATCTGTTTTCAGTAAGAGCTTGGATATCACAAACGCTAACTGCAGCAAGGAGGAAAGGTATTGGATTTCTGAGTTTCTGTGTTGTTGTCTGTGTTATTTTCTTCCCACTCATCTCTTTGGTTTTTCTTATTGCTTGCGAAAGTTCGTCACACCTTTGTCTTTCACTTTTAGATGTAGCATGTGGTTCATCATAGAAAAAGTTTATTTACCTTTTGTTATGAAAATCTGTCTGTGGCCACTCAAATATTTGTCATTGCTTTTGCATCATTTTTACATTAATTGATCATCTAAAAAACCCACATTGTGACCAAAGCAACGCCACAACAAGATATTCTCTTTACTAACAAATCACTTCAGACGCTCAATATAAATACGACATTAAGAAAAACAAAAACATCCCCAAAAAGAAACACAATCAACATTTCTAACAGCTAATGTCAATAATATTTTATTTTCTGGACAAAGATGGAGAAAGTCTTATTTTGTTATTAGTGGATTGAAATCTCTGGAGACAGGCGAGCATCATTTCTCTCAGCACCGTCGTTGGCTCTGTTTTTTACTACCTTTGAACTGAAGGAACAGAAAACTGAAGATTTTGAAGAATGATATTTATGTAATGAGTTTGGGTCTCCGGAGAGTGACATCACACATAAATGCATTGGTCCAAATAAAGGTAAGGCAGTGACTCGGTGTTACTGCCTTTGACAACATATTTTCCTCATATTTTAATAAATAAAAATCAATTTTATGTTTGGGTAAATGCAACCCTACTTCAAAAAACAGGTTACAAATATTTCCATTACAATCCTGGTGAATAAGTCTAAAATCATTTTGGTGGATCACGTTTACCTTTTCTGTTTTTGTCTAAATGCTGTAGTCAGTTTTCAGCTTTCTTCTTATATGTTCTGACTTCTTTTCATTTTAGGGCCACTGTAGGTGCCCCTTATTTACTGTAAATGAATCCGTCTGTGTGAAGAGTGCCTGGACAACAACAACTTTTACATGATGTTAGATAGGGCTGTGCGATATGACCAAAACCTCATATCCCGATATAAGAATTCTATCGTCCGATAACGATATAAATCACAAAAATGTAACATTTTCTGTAAATTCTGTGAATCTCGTCTTGCATGAAGTGTTTCCAGCTGCGCGTCATGAAGCTGGAGTCGAGTGTTTTAACCGATGCATGAAACGATACATTTTTAGACATAAGTTGTAACGGCGCCGTTTTCTTTGTGAGTATTTATTACACGGCGTGCTGCGGGGAAAAGCCTGTTCTAACGTTTGAGTCTAAGGTTTATTTTTTAGCACCTGCGGCTCTTTTTTACTTCTCATCCGTAAATAATCTGCTCTTTCACGTGATTCAGTTTATTTTGAAAAGTCTCAACAGGATCTTGAGCTTTATTGTGAAAGGTTTATGTGGAACATAAACAAGCGGACACGCGATGCTGTTACCGTCGTTGTTGCTAACGACAACGCATAAAAACAGGCGCTTGTCCGTCCGTAGTGTGGTGATATTAAATATAAGAGAAAGAGAACTTGAAGTAAATGAATATAGCCACTACAGTGACCATCAAAACCATGAAAAATATTGCCGTAAACAGTTTATTTTGCGACACCAGGAAACAAACGATAGCGTAAAATGAAACGATAGACGTTTTTATATCGTCATCCGATATATATCGTTATATCGAACAACCCTAATGTTAGAATTGTAGGGACAGACTACAGAAGGCCCTGGTGTCCATCAGTGCATAATAAGACAAAGTGGATACAAATGGAAACTCAGGTGTATTGTGTCAGATAGTATTGGATCTAAACAGTATTTGGATCCAAGTAGCATGATGTAAAATGGTCACGCTGTTATCAGAAGCCTATATCAGTGTTAGCAGAGTATTCTGTTCACGCTGAAATCTGAAAAATGGCACACGATGAGTTTTGCACTCCCTTCCTCTTTGGTGTTGCTTCCTCAGCCGCTGAGAGGCAAACACAATTTTTAGGTCAACTTCCTGCCTCCGTGTCTAACACCACCTCCTCCCCTCCTAACATCTTCACTCCATATCGCGCGTGTGTGTGTGTGTGTGTGTGTGTGTGTGTGTGTGTGTGTGTGTGTGTGTGTGTGTGTGTGTGTGGAGGAAGTACTGGCAAACAAACAAACTTTTTTTCCACTTTGCCAGTGTGTTTTTCCAATGATGCATGGGGAGGGTTGTGTATAATGATTTGTGGATCCTCCCTGTGCGGCTGACCTTGCAGGAGGAACACAAGTTTGTCTATGGATTTGTGGCCTTAATGGAGATTAGCATAAATTAATTGCTTTGAATGGAGCATAAACACGAGATGAAAATGAGGTTCACAGTCCCACTGAACAGCTTTTTATCTTGCTCGTCATCTAACTGGGAATATCCGTAAAATGAAGCTTGTTGTGCCCACGAACAAACATCACCAGCAACAAACCAGGAATCCATTTTCCCGTTTCAGAGATGAGCTAGCGTTAGCGTCCTGGGTTTGTCCTGGATGGGCGCCACCGTTGATGAATTGCGTGTTACAAAAGAGCTCCTCTCCCTGGCGGGAGAGTCCCGTCGCCATGATTTAACGTAACATCAGCGCGTACTTCCTCAGCATGAGGACGCAGAGCAGATAGAATATGTATGATTCTGCAGTATTATACTCTGTGGGACTGTATCACAGCGGGGCTACAGACAATAATGGACAACAAAGAGCTTTTAAAATCATGAGGTAGTTGATACAATTAGCAGATTTTCAAAAAGTTAGGTTTGATGCTTCCAACTTCTCACGTAATGATTTCTTAACTCCAATTATTTATTTGTTTTTGCTCTTCGGTTATTTTAAATAACTTTGATGGTCCAGTTTTTGGGTTGAAAAACAAACATCATGAATGAACTGTGATTTCATCATTTCTTTAAAACTCTTTAAAACTATAAATGTTAGCTGCTGGTATATTTCTTTGCATAACCAGAAGCGCCATATTTGGATAAAACGATCAACTAATTCTAAGAAGCTTAGGTAGCAAACTGCATTCAGAAAGAGCACTGGTGCAGTGCACAGACACACACATCTGCTAATTAGTTCAAATTGATATAATTTCACTCACCAAAACAAACATCGTCGATGATCTGTACCATTTAGTAAGTCATTGTTTGTCAGGTGTTTTCATTAAAAAATAGCCTAAAAGGTACTGACGGCACAAACAGGCGAGAGGCACAGTTCAGTGGCTCCGATTAGATGCAAAGATGAGGCCTGTCAGAAAGTGTGAAACGACCCATAGTTGGGCTAGCAGGCTTTAAATATACTCTGTAATGCTGTTAAGTTAGGCTCTGAGAGAGACCTTTGTTTAATTCATTTGGAAATAATATCCGTTTTTAGTTGCAGTTTACTGGTAGGAAACATAAGCAGTGATCACATTTAACGAGGTGCGTCTATATATTTAAATTAATGATAGCTGCTTCAATTGAAAGATTAGAAGTGGTTTTATTAACACAGGCTCACCATCAGGTGTTTGATGTTCGTCTGTACTTCTTAAATACGTAAATCATTAGCATGTTTAAGTCAGACTAATTCATCATGTTATTAAAAAAACAAGATTAATGTAGTTTTCTATTTCAAAAAGACAAAAAATCTGCATGATGAATCAAGTAGCACAGCAGCAGTTACGCAGATGTTTTATTTCACTCACAGCTGAATTCAATTAAAGTAGAATGTTGAGTTCAGATGTAAAAATACTGTTTATAGAAGCTTTACACAAGCAGAAGAAGCTAATTGATTTCTAACAACTTGCTAATATTTGTTTTAGAAGTTTCTTCAGCTGCATCGCTGTAGAGACGCTAAAGGAGCCAAAGAGAGAACATTTCAACATCGGCATTTTAAATATTATTTAAATATTATTATTATTATAATATTATCCATCCATTCGCTTCCACTTATCCTTTTTCAGGGTCGCGGGGGGCGCTGGAGCCTATCCCAGCTGTCATAGGGCGAGAGGGGGTACACCCTGGACAGGTCGCCAGTCTGTCGCAGGGCTAACACACAGGGACAAACAACCATTCAACTCACATTCACACCTAGGACAATTTGGATTATCCAATTAACCTATCCCCACAAGCTGCATGTCTTTGGACGGTGGGAGGAAGCCGGAGTACCCGGAGGGAACCCACGCAAACACGGGGAGAACATGCAAACTCCACACAGAAAGACCCCGGCCTGATGTGGAATTGAACTCAGGACCTTCTTGCTGTGCGGCAACAGTGCTAACCACCGTGCCACCGTGCTGCCACCGTGGTTATAATATTATGGTTATAATGAAAATAGTAATAATAATGAAGAAACCATGGTTTCTTCATTATGACGGGGCAGCGTCATAGCTGTGAGCTCCAAATACTGCCTCGTGTGATGACAGCGCATCTGCAAAATCTAATTTGCAGTTGGCAATGTCATTTCTCCTTTATGAGAATTGTATTTATTTATTTTCTTATTTTTGTGTGTGTGCCTGTGTTTCTATCAGTCTGTCTGTGTCTTCAAGCATTTTTAATTATGATGTAGTGTTTTCATTTTTCACTGCCAACAAAGCCAAATCGTCTATGGGCAATTAAATCCCAAAGTCTTCAAAGACGTCAGCAGGCCTGAATGGTGAAAGTGGCGTACGGGCAAAAGCGAGAAGGGGGGGTGAAAAGTTAATGACACGTAAATGAAAAATGGAAACACTCATAAAAAGCAGAAAAGAGAAACCATGGTAATGAATTTTGCAGTAGCTCTCTGGGTTGCGTGTGTCTGTGTGTGTGTGTGTGTGTGTGTGTGTGTGTGTGTGTCGTGTGTTGATGTGTGTCTGTGTGTGTGTGTGTGTGTGTTGTAACACTGACTGAGCTGCTCTGAACTATCTGAACTTTGGTTAAGGACATGAATTACTGAAGCCTTAAGTTGTCCTGTCACACCATAACTTTCCCCTCTAGTTGTATTAGCCACACAAAAGCTAAGATCCTTCAGAACCAATGGAAGTGAAAATCTCCACTAACCACTTCCCCTGTAACTAACCATTTACGGCCAGGTTAGCAGCCTGTTACTACCATATCTGTAATGGTCATTGCACTAAATCAAATAGAAAAAGAGCAACCCAAAGACAGGAGGAGAGCAGTCAGTGAAGTCTGTGGATAGAAATCATGAGAATGGAGCAGAAAAGTCCAAAAAATCACAAAAAAATTACTTGGTCAGGATATTTTGGATAAGCGGAAGAAGATGGATGGATTTCCACCATAGCCCACATTTCCATCAGGGCTATATTATAGGAATATGTTATATTAAAGATAGCACCTTAACTCCAATGATCAGGAGAAAAGGCTGCACTTTGGAACAGACCAGCTCAGGGGAAGCTGAGTATATAGAAATGTGGAAGATCAATGTTGTCTGGATGAAACAATGAATGATTTAAACATTTTCAAAAAGAAAAAAGAAACTTGCTGAGGTCCAGAACTCATGCCAGCTGTAAAAAAAGTATGCTAGCTTAATGGTGCTTATTGTGACTGTGACCTGGGGGGGAAACAGCCTCGCTGACAAATGCATTTTTAGTTCAGTGCCCCACGAGGGCAGCTCAAGAAGTTTGGTTTGGAGAGCTTACAGATGTTGATAAGAGGAAAGGTTTCAGCAGGACGGAGACAATAAAATGTATTTGTAGAAGGGAAAAAAGGAAGAGCTACACAGAAAGGTTCAGCTCCTTTGGATGAAGTGTGTGTGTACATGTTTAGGCATCGCTGTGAGGACAGAAAATTGGCACTTGTGGGGACCAACAGTCACTTATGGGGACAAAGTGCCGTCCCCACGAGTTTGAAGACATTTTTGAGGCTCAAAATGTGGCTTTAGTGTCAAGGTTACAGTTAGGTTATGGTTAGGTTTAGGCTCAGGGTAAGCAGCAAGGGAAAGCATTATGTCAATGAGATGTCCTCACCAAGATATGAAAACAAGTGTGTGTGTGTGTGTGTGTGTGTGTGTGTGTGTGTGTGTGTGTGTGTGTGTGTGTGTGTGTGTGT